CGCGCGGCCGCCCGCCCGCTCCACGCCTAGCGGCCCCGCGCCCTCTCTCCGCAGCCGAGGGGAAACCGAGACGGAAGGGAAAAAGTTGCAGTTGGGATTCCGAGGGTCCGCCTTGGGGAGGGAGAGTTGGCGAGCCGGCGGCGCGACACGAAAGGCGTTCTCCTTTCCACTTTTTGGCCCTCGTGCTGCCCGGTTTTTTGCTGCAATCTCCTCCGCGGGAGGAGAAGAAACGAGCACGGCCGAGGTGACCCGGGGTGCTCCCCAGCCTGGGTGAGGGGCACAAGCTCGCGGACAGTGACGGGGGACGGGAGCGCACGGGAACCCGAGCGAGGCAGCCAGGGACGCCGGCCGCAGACGTGCAGACCTAGCTCTGAATGACACTCATTTGGGTAATGGAGAGTCCCAGGAGCTGGGCTCGGCTGGGGAGGGGACTGCGGGGCATGGCACTCTAGGTGCCCCCGAGCCCGCTGCTCCTCTTGGCGGTGCGTTTTGGGTTTCGCCTTGGGCAAGCAGGGAACGGGGAGGGAGGGAAGGGGCGCCTGCAGGACCGAGCTGGAGAAATCGAGGTGGCCCAGGGAGAGCGATGCAACCGAAAGAAACGGCCGGCCGGGAAATTGAGATGCAAAGGGCATTTTTGGCAAGCGCCACGCCAGCACCGCCAGAGGCCGGCTTCTTGGGCTCAGCCCTCGGGTGCGCTGAGCTGGCAGCCGGGTGAGGGGGCGGGCGGACTGCTTTCTCCAGATTTGGGGGGCGCAGAGCCTCCCTCTTTCCCTCCCCCACAAACACCCCTTCCTAGTAAGGGCTCAAAACAGGTGCAGCCTTCGAGGCAAGTTTAGACCGTGTCAGGAGAGAAGTGTATTCCCCGCTTTTTACGTTGATAGGATTGTTTTAAAAAATAAAAATAAAAATAAAATGCAAATGTAAATATGCCGAACGCAAGCTGTTTCCTGAGAAAGCCTGAGATTTTGCTGTGGAAAAAAAAAAAAAAGGGGGGGGGGGGAGAAAGGGTTAGAGGAGTCCGAGCAGGCAGACACACTACAGCATTCACACGCAGAAGAAAGCAGCGCTCTCCTCCCCGAGCTTGGGTGAGGGCAGGCAAGGAAGTAAAATACATTGAATTCAACTGCATCCTGGATCTGAAAGGGATTCTCCCCCGCCCCCTGTGGATTCCAATGCAGGTCATGCAACTTGCAGGCAAGATGGGGGAAGGGGTGTTGCAGTGCCACGGCCTGCCTCTAATGCCACTGACAGACAGGCCCGATGTCTTGCCGGAACACTTTCTCGCTGGGAGTGAACTTGGATTAAAGGGGAGAAAGAAAAGAGCATGTCTATAAAAGGCAGTTTCTCCGACTTCCCATTATATTCTTTCTGCCTTCCTTTGGCCCCAGTGAGACTTTTACACCCTGTCGCCATAATGGTCTTATCCCCCAGAATGGCATTTTGCCCTCCCGCCAGCAGGAGGGGACAGAGTGGAGACAGCTCTCAACCAGTTTCTACTGGCCCCAGGCCAGTCCCTGGTGTCCTTGTCCACTGGAAATCTCCCTGACACTTCAAGTGGCATTCTGAGTGACTTAGGGTTCTCTGGGAGGCAGGGAGAGTAAGGTACAGCCAACACACTGGAGCTTGGCCTCTCTTGGGAAAGAGAAAAGGAAAAACAGGGTGCATTTCTCAGACCATCCCAGGGGAGATGAGTAGCTCACTGTCTGTTCGGATTTAGCAGAGCTCCAGCAAGGAGCAAAACATCGTCATATCTTAAAGGGTGCTCTACCCATTTTCTCTAAAGACAGGGATGATTTTTAATACTTCCTGAAAAGAAGTGTAGCTATCCATAAGTTATGTTTAAAAACGAAACCTCCTCAGACAGTGAAAATTCAGACTATGAAGCAGGGGGCTTGGATGGGACAAGAGGTCTTTCACTCTTGACAGTGGGGAGGGTGTAAGATCGGGTGCTTGAGGCTTGAAGGAGCTCTGAGCCTGCTGAAGAAGTAATGCTTAAGGTGAAGAAGGCCCTTTTTGTATGTAGATAGACTGCTAGTGGAAAGAGCGGAGTTCTCTTTCAGACCATGGACAAATGGGCTTGCAGTCTGGGCCTAGGCTGGCTTTCACGCCCACAAAATGGCCACATTGAGCCAGCTCTCCTCTAACTGGTGATGTCCACAGTCCCTGAGAGCTTTGTGATAATACAGCTCCTTAGGCTCTACCAGATACTTCACAGACCAAACATTTTAGGAAGTTCTCTGGGTAGGATAGGGAGGCAATAAGGGAGGGGGCTATGTCTGGGATACAAAATAAACAACCTGTGATTAATATAAAAAATAAAATTAAAATTAAAAAAAAGTTATCCAGGTGGTTGATAGGTGTATAGGGGTGGGGAGACAGCTTCCAGCCCCGCCCCCTACCCCCAGCTTGAATCATCTCTGGTTCTACAGGAGCCTTGGGTGAAGGGACATTGGAAAAGAGAAGGGACTTCACGTGGGTTCACAGTAGCATCCAGTTAGAATGAAATGAGCTGAGTATCTTCGGTGCTTGCAAAAAACCAGAACTTTTGGGCCTGGCAAGATGGCTGTCATCAATAAAGTATTGACCACAGGAGCGTAAAGACTCAGCACACATTTTTTTAAAAATGGATTTAGCAATGCTCAGTGGTAGGGGTAGAGATAAGAGGACCTTTGGCTCTTGCTGGCCAGCAGAAATCAGTGAGAGACCCTGTCTCAAAAATAAATAAATAAATAAATAAATAAATAAATAAATAAATAAATAAA